TCACTTTGGACGCGTGTTCACGACAGTATCATGACGCGAGCGTGTGGCGGCGCTGGCGCTGACCCAGATCCGGCATGTTGACGTCATTACGCCAAGTCTGGGTCAGCGCCGCCACACGCTCGCGTCATGATACTGTCGTGAACCCACGTCCTAAGTGACGCAGTAGAGACGAAAATGTGGAATAAAGTCATTATTTTTGCTTTCTTTGCGCAAAAAAAATATTCTCATAACTTCGTAACGTAAATGTAACACGGACTACTTTGTCGATCATCTTGGTACTTTTCTGGACCTTGAACGTGGTAGTTACCTTGCTGTCTATGGGAGGGTCAGAGAGCACTCAGATTTCATCAAAAATATCTTAAATTGTGTTCCGAAGATGAACGAAGGTCTTCGAACAACACGAGGGTGAGTAATTAATGACAGAATTTTCATTTTTGGGTGAACTAACCCTTTAACTAGAAGTATTTCTTCCAGAGCCTGTAATAAATGTGTCACGTCCTTCACACAATTCTGTTGACAGAACTACAGACTAACATTCTTCAGAACTGTTGAGACAATAAGCACTTTTCCATCATCCAGTGGTGGTACCTGTGGCATTTCTATTAAAACACAATTTGATACATTGCAATTATAAACTGTTCCATGAATGATTTTTTTTTTGTATATTTGACAAACTGTACTCAGGACAGAAGAACCATGCTGGTGAATGCAACAACCCACAACTGGTCACTTGTCAGTAGCTAATGTAACAAAAAAAATGCAATTTGTTGCCATTAGTAACGCAGAAATCACACACCTCAGCTTTACAGGGATAGTTCACCCAAAATACCTTCTTTCACGTTCCACAGAAGAGACATTCAGGTTTAGAATGACATGAGGGTGAGCAAATAATGACAGAATTAAAAATTTTGGATGAACTATGCCATTAAGATAATCTGTTAAGCAAGATAAATTGCATTACGATATGGAACTCTGCCATCAATATACTCAACAAATTGTACATGTATATACACTAAACAGTCTTCCATTCGCAAAACACAATGCAACTGTCCCTATGTGTTGCAGTGTAACATGGGAGTCAGACCTTTGTAAATAACATACTACCTACATAAAACCCTACCCTAATCAACAGATAGTGTTAAAGTCCCCATGAAATCAAAATTAAAGTTTTTTGGGTGTTAGTATCAATATGTTTGTCTTAAGGTTATCTATAAGGCAGTGTGCTCCAAAACAGTGACAAAATTATAGAAGAATATATAAGCATTCAAAGTTTGCAGTTTGTCACTTCCGCCAAAACGGCTCAATGATTTTTTTGACGTCACATTGTACTTCAGCTTCTCATCAAACTTTCTGTCCAATCAAATGCTCTCTAGAATCAGAAGCGCCCACCCCCTACACTATAAAATAGACGCTGAAGCCGCGGCTGAAATC